TGTGTGTGTGTGTGTGTGTGTGTGTGACCAGCTTAGCCCACCAGGGGGCGGGGCGGGCTGGCATGTGGTGCTGGGGGATTGAATCGAGGTCCCTGTGCTCTTGTGGTCCCTGTCTGATCTTTGCTAAGCTTGTTCTAAGTAAGTGCTTTAGACCACTGAGCCATCTTGCCAGCCCAGCTGGGTGATTCTTGTTACCAAGAAGTGGTCTTTCATTAACAAGAAATACCAGGATTGGGGACCCTAGGTATAACTCTGGGGAGATGTCAGGATGAGTCCCTTTGCTAAGAATTATGTCAGAGCCTGTTGAGCCTATTGGGCAAAAGGCAGCTACCTGGTCTTACTCCAGCTGCCAGCAGGTTAGAGACTACCCAGGTTCACTGGGACCACTTAGATCTCACTTTTGTTTGCTGAGGAGGGATGAGGTTGCCTTGGCAACCAGGTCAGCAGAAGCCCAGCTCTGGAAGGATTTTTATGAGATACCAAATGCCATCACTAGGGAGCCTAAGTTTTCCTTAGCAACCAGGATCTGTTGTAGGTTTCTTTTTGGGGGGTAGGGGATTACCGGGAATCAAACTTAGGACCTGGCACTTGCCTCGCAGGCGCTGCGCCACTGGCCTATAATCCTGGCCCAAGCACCTAGGACCTGGAAAGGTGTATAGGGCCGTGCTCTTCACAGGGATGAGTTTTCAGACCTGAGGCTCTGTTGCTAGGGAACAAGTTTCCTTAGCAAAGGACTAACTGTAGGGTCCTTTGTTTAGAGGGAAGTGGCTTGGAGGTGGGGATCTCTTTCATGCCTTAGCTTTTGTTGGGGAGGGGATGGGGGAGTGGAGGTGGGGAGTGGCTTAGAAGCTGCACCTCCGTTCTCTCACTGAACCTCGGTGGCCCTCCCGCCTCTCCGCCCCCAGGACGAGAAGTATTGGAGCCGGAGGTACAAGAACAACGAGGCAGCCAAGCGGTCTCGCGATGCTCGGCGGCTCAAAGAGAACCAGATAACGGTGCGGGCAGCCTTCCTGGAGAAGGAGAACGCCCTGCTGCGGCAGGAGGTGGTAGCGGTGCGGCAGGAGCTGTCGCATTACCGGGCCGTGCTGTCTCGCTACCAGGCCCAGCACGGGGCCCTGTGAGAGCTTTCCTGCACTTCTCTCCCCCTCAGACTTGCGCCCTGTCGCCTCTTCCCTCCCCGCCTTGTGGCCCACAGGTTGGCCATCTGGTTGCCCCAGGGACGTGATAATGCAGATAAATACATTTATATTTTTAAGAAAAAGCGAGCCTCCCCCCTCCCTTGCGGGGGCGGGGAGGGTCCCATGTGTGCTCCGGACACGTCGGGGACCCCATCCTCCCACCGCCTACATTAACACAATCCTAAATAAATCTTGAGAACCCCAGAGCCAGCTGTTGTGGGGGGCAAGGCAGCTACTGGCCCTGGTGGGAGACCAGCAGGTCACACTGGCTGCAGCCGGCAAGCACCCAGAGCTGCAGGGAGGTGTAGTCACAGGCTGTGGATGGAGGAAGGGGCAAAGGTTAGGAACGAAGCAACTGCCTTTATTGCATAGACCTTTTCAATTGCTTTTTAGATGGGGACGGAGGACGCACAGGACACAGACTTGAATTTTCCCACCCCCACCCGTGGGGGGGAGGGTATTAGTGCAAATCCGAGCGACAGCCCCCAGGGACCCGCCCCTCTCAGGCTGATTGGCCAGTTAGGTGGAGGCACCAGAATGGATAGGGCGAGACCCAGTCCTGCCTGGCCAATTAGCTAAGGCTTCTCCCAACTCGTACATTCCAGGTCCGGTCATTGGGCAGATGTGAGGCAGGCTCCACCCTCAGCTTCTCTGACCTGTTGTGAGCTGGAGACAAAGTGGGGACCGACTTTGGGTCCCACCGGCGAGAGCAGCCCAAGCTCGCCCTTCACCGGTCAGGCACTACCCAGGGGACGAGCCTGGAGCTTGGGCCAGCCCCTGGCATCACTTCCAGTTCCCTGGTGACGGGCCGAACCTTTGCACACGTGGGGCACTGCCCCAACTCTAGCAGCCAGGCCACACCGTGTAGCCCGGTCCTGTCCCTGGCGCATCCCCAGGTTCAAGGTCCCTGCCCGGCACAGCCAGGAGGACCCGTGAGCAGCGTACCGAGACCTGGGTGTATCTGCGCCTGCACTGGCCCGTACTCCACTAGCTCCCCGTCCACTGTGAGCAAGCCGCGGGGAGTGAGTGGCTCCAGGCGGAAGGCACGGGCCGGGGCATAGCCGACCTGCGGGCAGCCCAGGTTAAAGTGGTTCCCACGCTCCATAGCCAGGAATAAACGCAGCAGCATGGCCCGCGAGACCCCACCCCGCACCCACATCAGGTGCACCACGCCGTCGTCAAAGCGTGCGTGGGGAATTGTCAACAGATCGGCACCCAGATGGCTGGGTAAGATGGCCAACACCAGCACGAAATCCTCCTCCAGTGTCACCCAGCCTGGGGGCAGTGGGCTGTCCAATGGGGGCAGCAGGTGGTCCTGTGGACCCCCAGTAGAGGCCGCTGGTGCAGCAGGTGTGCTGGGTGGGAGCCCAGAGGCTGTCGGCATTTCTGGACGCCCTTCTGTGATGGGAGAGAGTGGAGCTGCCTTGGGGGAGCCAGAGGGTGAGGGCAGGAGTGGGTCTGGGGACAGTGGCGCTTCCCCAGCGCCACCCCAGTCCGTGGCCAGCTCTGGGACCCCACCATTGATGGACAGCACAGGCAGGGACTCAGGTGAGCCAGGGGAGGCCAGGGCAGGCTGGGGTAGGGGTAGGGGTAGAGGCAAGTCAGACACTGAGCGGTGCAAAGGGGAGTGTGCCGTAGGTGGGACTGGGGCTGGAGCCAGGGTCAGCTCTGACTTGGCCCGGGGCAGACCATGGGCAGGGCCAGGTGAGGCTGACTCCACAGTGGTAGGGAGGTAAGAGAGGCGTCCTCGGTAGGTCCGCAATGTGGCGAGGCTCAGCACTGTACCCAGGGTGAAGCGGGCTCTGCCCAGGGCTCGGAAGCGCTCACTCTGGATGTCCACATCTGACACAAAGCCCCAGGCCACAGACAGGAAGGAGAAACAGCGGGAGCCTGAGGCCAGTGTCACAGAGAGCAGGTCCAGAGGGTGGCTGCCACCCCGGCAGAGCAGCAGGGAGCAGTTGAGCAGCAGGTCCAGGCCCAGGGATGGTGCAAACCTTCATGGCCCAGGATGGTCAGGTGGGAAAGAATAAATAGGGCTGGGTGAGACTTGAGGCACAGGGCAGAGACAAAGATGGGAAAGCAACTCACACCAAGGCCAGCGATGCTGTGTCCTGGAGCCCAGTGCAGCCGCTGCAGGCGGGTCTGTGTGCCAGGCAGTTCCAGCTGCCTGGGCAGAGCTGGGAATGAGATGGGCCACAGCACCCAGAGCCGGGAGTGCGGCATCCCACAGCCAGGTGGTTCATGGGCCAACAGTGGGGCTGGCCCTGCCCCAGGACTCATCCCCGCTCCTGTACCCCTGTCCTCCCAGCAGGGGTGTCCAACCTACCCCCCATGCTTGTTCACAGCTCCAGCCAGCGCGTTGCCGGAGCCGCAGGGGAGGATCCCCAGGGGCATCTTCACCGCCTGCTCCCAGTCCGGGCGATCTAAGAGCCCATTCAGCACCTGGTGGGCAGGAAGCCAGCTGCTCAGGCCCCAGCTCCCACCTTTTTGGTCCCCCAGGATTCAGGGTTAAGGGCAGCAGCTCTTGTTCTACCTCATATAACAGCCCGTCTCCTGAGAGGGTGACGATGCCGTCCCACTCACTCAGGCTCAGCCCCTGGACCAGCTCCCGGGCGTGATTTTGTCTTTCTAAAGAGGCAAAGCAGCAGGTTAGGCAGCTGTCTCCTTCCCTGCCACACCCTTCTCCCTGGACCCAGGAGTCCTAGTCACACCCCACTTTTGGTGCCCCTACCCGTACCTGTCTGAATTAGGTTGAAGGATAGCCCAGCTTCAGAAATCATGGGTAGCACGTGGTTCTCACACCACTGCCAGGCCTGGCCCCGTCCCCCAAAGGGATTGACCAAGAGTAGCAACCGGGGTGGCCGTGGCAGGAGCTCAGGGGTGATCTCTGCAGAGAAAGGGCAGCATCTGCAGAGGCTGGAGACCCAGGCCCCTCAGCCTGGAAACAGTCCCTTCAAACAGCCCCCATGGAACTGGGGAGGGATGGGACAAAGACAGGGCTGGGTGTGAAACCAAGTGCCCTTTGGACCCGTATTCCTGAGAAAGACAAAGGCGCTGTGACCTGGAACACCCACTACTCAGGATCAAATTCCTTCTCTGTCATGGCCCCTTCTGGGCCCCAAGCAGCCCGCAGGACCCCAGCGGCCTAAAGCTCACCAGATGGGCATTCCTGAAGGAAGCCCGGGGGGGGGGGGGGGGGGGGGGGGGGTGCTGTGGAGGTCCAGCCCAAATGCCTTCCATCTCCAAAATTCCCAGGTGCCCCAGATATCTGTGTTGGCACCTGTCACCAGGGTGGTGACTGTTCCTGTCTCCGTCTGCTGCTGTCAGTGCCAGTGAGCCTCTGACTCACTGTCTGTGGTCAAGACCGGGAAGGGGGTGGGGACAGACACAGCATCTAGCTGGGGAACGGCTGACAATTCCTTTCTCTCTGCCTGTTTTTGTTCTTTTTTGTAGCCAGCCTGTGTCCTGCTCTCTCAATACAGACCCACAGAGAGATGCCCACAGAGGGAAGCCTGTCTCCAGCACAGAGCAGCTGCCCAGGGCCTCACCCTCTTCCCCAGGCAGTGGCAATCCTCGCAGTAGACTCATGAGGGCAGCGACCCAGCGCTGGGCCTCTGCACGGTTCTCCTCATAGGTTGCAGCCCCATCAGCCTGAAAGGTGCGGGCAGCTCGGCGCCGGCCCCCCCGCCGGCCCCGCAGGTAGGTATAGATGCATAAGTAGGCCGCCGAGTCAGAGGGACTGTGGCTTCGAAGGGTGCAGCAGCCTGAGATCACAGACAGAGGGACAAGGCCGTCCCGGGGCCGGGCTTCAGGCTTTGGGAGCAGCCGCTGTATGTGCAGGGCCTGAGATGTGAGGGTGAGGGCAAATCGTGAGCCTCGGGCCGGGTAGGAGCCAAACTCGCCATGCAGAAGTGGGGTGCTGGCAGCCAGTGGTGCTGGTGAGGGGGCCATGGCCTCAGCCCTGTCCAAGGCTCTCCTAGGCCTGCGGCCCCAACTCCTGGTGACCTGCTGCTCCAGTGTCTGTGGAGAGGGAGGAGGGAAGGGTCAGAGTTCAGGACACCTAGGGGAGACTGGGAGGCGGAAGGAGAGGCAGGGACTGTGGCAGGTGGAAGGGGACGACCAGACACACAGGCTCAGGCAGCTGTGGATACTGGAGGACACAGGTGGTTGTGCAGGAAAGCCAGAAAGGCCTGGACACGCAGCCATTCGTTTATCTTCCATACAGCCATTCAGGATCCTCTGTGTCAGTCGTGGTGCATAGAGCAACACTGCAGAGAACTGACAAAAATCCTGGCCTGCACAGGGCTTACATCCTAATCCAAAGACAGGGAGACAAGGCGAGACAGTAAAACACCACATGTGCTGGGTGATGGATAAGGCCTTAGGAAAATAAAAAGCACAGGAGGGAATCAGAGGGTGGAGGCAAAACCAGAAATAGGCTGAGCTGGGGAAAGCAACCCCCACGTGCACACTGAGTCATCGCATGTGGAGAGAATAGTATTGCTGAGACACAGGCACAGAAAGAGGACAGACAAACACGGGGAGACGAAGAGCTTCAATGGGATGAAACCGGATGGATGAAAGACAGGAAGAGTTTGTCACCCCAAAAAGAAAGGCAGCCCACACTTAGGACAGAAAGGATGTGACAGCTGAAACCAAGGGACCCGAGGAGAGCCGCATGCAAGTGCTGAAAAGGGGTGGGGGCTGAGAACTTGCCTGTGAGCACTGACCTGGGGGTCTGCTGCCTGCTCTCCAGGAAAAGCTGGGGCCAGGACTGGCGTCCCTCCCCCGCAGGCCCTTCTGCCAGCTGCTGCCTGCCCACCACCTCCTCCTCCTCCTCCTCCTCCTCCTCCTTCTCCTCCTCCTCCTGCTCACCTTTGTCCTCTCCCTGGCCCACCCAGCTTCCTGCTTCTCACCTTTCCCTGCCCACATTAGAGGCAGACACGCCCCCCCATCTGCCGTCCAACACTCACTCCGCCCTGGGCGGCTCCCGGAGGCCCAGGGTGTCTGCCCCACCTCCACACCAGCAAAGAACCTCAAATCAGGCTCAGGCACAAAGCCCAACACAGCCTCCACGCCTGAGCCTTGGGCCTGGCCCTCCACCCACAAACTGCCACACCATAGCTTGAGTCTCTGTCTCTGGGCCTCTGTCTTCTACCCCACTTCTGGGCCTGGGCTTCCATTCATGGATGCCTCAGTCGTGGTCCTGGTTTTTCACTCCCATCTCCCACCCAGCACCCCAGTTCCAGCACACACACTCTCTGTCGGGCCCCTGCCCTGACGCTCGCGCCCCCCTCACTCGCCGGGTCTTCCTCCGGGCGGCCCCCTCAAGTCTGCAGACCACCCCCAATCAGACCTAGGGGTGGGGGGAGGGTGTGCATCCGCTTAGCCAATGGCTGTGTCGCTGGCCTGTACCGCACCAATGAGGACGTGCAAAGGCGGGGCCGGACGACTCGCGAGTTTAGCGCTCGGTCCCACTACGCTACGCTAGCGGTCGGGGAGAGAAAGAACTGGGCGGTGCACTGCGCTTCTAGAGACCAGCCGCCATCGTAAGTGAGGGCACAGACACAGCCGAAGAGGCGTCACACCTTTGCAGATAACCTTGGTGCCTCCTTCTTTGTTGAGGGCAAGTGGGCCCTGCCCCTCAGCTGAGTTTATAAAAGAAAAGGGGCGTGGAATAGGAGGTCTTCAGCTGCAGAGACAGGGAATAGGAGGTCCTTAGCTGCAGGGGCCGAACCCTAATGCAGCAATCGGAGGCCCAGAAATAAGGGTTAGTAATAAACCTAGACAAAAAGCAAGGCAAAGACCTAAAGAAACAGAGTCAAGGATAGGTAATAAGTGAGTTAGGACAGGATAACGAGGTAGTGGTGTGGTGTGGATCATTCAGATAGTTACAAGACTCAGGCACAGAGAAAAGCAGAGATACAAACAGACAAAAACAGAGAAAATGCAAGATAAGGGCACAAGGAATTCCAGAAAATGACAGAGACAGACCGAGATAGGCACTTCTGGAATGAACACTCTGGACAGGTTCATTAATTCACTATTTACTCTGGATTCCAACCACAGTGAGGCAGCAAGAGATAAACATCTGACCAGGAAATGACTAATCACAGAGCAGAGCAGACACAAAGGGAGAACCCTCTGGGTCAAGGGTGAGGAAGGGAAAGAAAGTTTTAAGTCCAGAAACTGAGGAATTGAAAGTGAGAGATGAAAGGGGAAGCTGTTGATACAAGAGACACAGAGGCAAAGAAAGACCCGGCATCGGACAGAACTGCAGAAAGACATGCAGAATGAGACAGGGACAAGCTGGACAACGGAGCCAGGTGTGGTGGCACACCCCTGTGATCTCAGCTCCTGCGCTCGGGGCTAAAGCAGGCGGATCACAAGTTAAAGGCCAGCCTGGCCAGCTTAAAAAGATCATCTCAAAAAAACTCAAAAACACAGCTGGGGGTGTAGTCGGTGGTAGAAGGCACCTGGGTTAGAGTCCTAGTACCACACGAGTATGAGCCGCGTGTGCGCACACACACACACACACACAAAATGAGACGATTCACTTATTGCCAAACAAATATATTTTTGCATGTATCCCACAGTAGCAGCTCTTGAAGACAGAGTAAGTGATACAATCCAAAGAAGACTGAGGCAAAGGAACAGAGCAACTGAGCTGAGCCCTGAAACACAGAAAGTCCCAACCAAAAAAGCTCAGATTTCTCTGAGTCATCAAGTGACAGAAAAGGGAACATGGAAGGGAAGCAGATGGAACAAGAAAAGGAGAAGGGGACCTCTACCTTACAGGAATTTGCTGTGTGACTCTAGGGAGCCCCTGCGTTCTTAGCCACACCTGCCCTGTCTGGAAGACCGAAAGAAAGGTATTCATTCAAGACTGAAGAGAAGGTCGAAGACTAGTGGTGGGAGGGCGTCAGCTGAGGTGGCCCCACAGAACAGCAATCTTGGCTTTCAGATGGGCCTTTACCTGGTTCTGCCGCTCCTCTGATTCAAGGTGTTGATTCATCTGTGGCCCTCTGTTCTGTTACATCAACACACCTTGGCCCTAGGCCTAAGGCCATAGGATGGTGGTCTAGAATGTACAAGGAGTCACGCTCTATGGAGAGAGGAAGGAGATGGTTTGGTGACTGCCTCAACTAGTCTGTCTGGTTTTGTCAAAAAGGTGCTACTAACAAGGCAATTGCTGTTGCACACTTCTGCACCCCCCCAAAAAAAAGCATGGACCAAAATGAACTTTATTAACCTACATAATTCTGGAAAACATCCCATGTGTCAGATCTGCTATCATTCCTTTTTTTCTAAATATGGAAAGGTACAGCACAGAGAATGACTCGCCCAAGGTCACACCATTAATAATAGCAGAGCCAGGATTTGAATTTGGGTACAGTCTGGGCACATTCCATCTCACCAATTTTCTATGTTTTCACCTCCCTCTGGGCCCCATCCCCTAATCCTTCCCTCTCACCCTAAAGTCTCCATCCCTGCTCCCAGAGTCTCCAATCTTCCTCCTCTCTGAATTTCTAGCCCTGGCTCTCTCTTCCAGGAGCCCCTCCATCCCGCCCCTCAAGCCAGGCCCTCAGGACGCGATCCCTGGGACCCCAGTACCTTGTGCCTCCCTCACATCGAAACCGCTGGGCCAGCTGAACCTTTCTGGTGGAGAAAAAAGCAGCCCTTCCTTAGCGGGAGAGGCTGAGCAGGTGGTCAGGAAAGGACCACCTAGGGGAAGGTGGCAGCTCAATCAAAAAGGCAGATATATAGGGTGCTCTAGATTAAGTTGCAGCAAGGTGATCTTGGGTTGGATATCTAGCAGAACTTCTACGCTTTGGCTGCGCCTAGGAGTTCAGCGCAAAAGAAGGCACCCGTGAATCTAAACAAACGCGAGCGGCTTGGAGAGGACTAGACCCGCCAGCCCCGCCTCCTCACCACCACTACCCGGCCCACCAGGTCCTCCACAGACACCGAGAGGCCCCCGGTATCAGGCCAGAGCGCCGCAGCACGCGACCTCTTCCTAAGCTCCACGCGCCTCTCTTGCTCCCAGTTTCCTCTTTTTCCCCGGAAGAATATAGAGAGCAGCGCCTGGGTAAGGCTAGAAGGGCTCTCCGACGTGCTAGCCCTTCCTTCCTGTGCTTGGTGCTCTTTGATTATTCCTCCGCCCTATTTTGTTGTTACCCATCTAGCCAGTCATTCAATTCACCATAGAGAAGACTGGCTCGTGGTAGAGCGTCTTGTCGGGCTCGTAAGACGTCATCAGGGCGCCGCGCGCTGGAGGCTTTCCCCGCCCATCGCAGCCGTGCTCTTTCTTTCCGGATTTGACTGAAGAGGAGTTGCCATCATGGTGAGCGAGCCTTGGGGTATTCAGTGCTTCATCATCCAATGCCATCCTCGGGGGTTTAGGGCTGGGGGCGTGCCAGAGGGATGCAGGGGTTTCGCCAGTGTCCGAAGGAAGCGATTTCCGAGGCAGGGATGCTACTCTGAGGCCTAGAGGCCGGGTATGGATCGCAGTCATGTAGTCCTGTAGTTTGCGTTCAGCACACGACCAAGTTGAGGTATTGGGAGGAAAAGTGAGGAGATCAGGGCCACAAGCTAAGAAGCGGCTGGAGGTGGGAACCTACCCTTTGTGGTTGGAAGTGTAGACACTTTTAACCACTTTGCAGCTTTTACCTGGACGTGTCACTCAGTCTAGAAAACGCAAGAGGAGAGTGGCGTTGGACCCATGCGGGCCTCCGTTGCAGTTGAAGCCCCTGAGCGATACAGCTTTCCGGCCCTCGGCCCCCGTTCCTTTACCTTTTCCCTGGGAGCATAGAGGACCCATCTCACGGATTGGTGGGTTGGCAAGAAATAATTCAGAGATGGTTCTCATCAGAAAGTCCTAGGTGTTGAATAAATGAGATCTGTTACTTCACAGTTAGGGTTAATAGTAGAAAAACATGGTTACTCAAAAGAGTAGTACTGTTACTGCGTGTCTATTGTTGCTGTATTTCTGGTTATCCTTTTGGTAGGAGTGGCAGTTTGAGGAACGTAGTGAGGCCTGTGTTCTTGGAAAGGTACAACTTGCTGAGCCTTTCTCAGGTCCATATGGCTGCTGTGCTAAGATGCTGCAGATGCTGATGCGTTTGCAGGTTGCTTTAGTTTCCTCTTAAGAGGGCTCAGTGGTGGACCGGCGGGGGGCCCTGAGCACTGTTGCCAGGGGCTCCGCTCCATCTGGGAGATGGGTACAATGGGAGCATTTGTGCGGTAGTCACCCAGATTCAGGGTTGGAGCCATGGTTTTCTCTTCATCCATACAGGGAGTTGACATCCGTCACAACAAGGACCGAAAGGTCCGGCGCAAGGAGCCCAAGAGCCAGGACATCTACCTGAGGCTGTTGGTTAAGGTGAGGTTGGGGCCTGGGGTCTTGGGGCAGGACCACCCACGTCTTCTGTTGTTGGTACCAGGATCCCTGAGCTTTAGTGCTTTTAGCTGCTGGGCTGTAGCACACTTGGAGTGGGGAAGAGATTTTCCGGGTCTCCAGTCAGGAAGGACCTGCTGTTCCCCAGGTTCCATGGAGTGGGAGAAGCCACCAAACTGTTGGTTTTAAAAAAGCAGAAAAGAAAATGAATAAATTATTGGTTTACCTTGTCCTTTGTCCTCAGGCTTACTTTTTCCTTTCCCTCAGCTGTACAGGTTTCTGGCCCGGCGGACAAATTCCACCTTCAACCAGGTTGTGCTGAAGAGGTTGTTCATGAGTCGCACCAACCGGCCACCTCTGTCCCTTTCCCGGATG